CTCCTCAAATATGGGGTCTATCATAAAACCTTTGGCTGGTGCAGTGTAGGTCAGACTCATCTATAGTCCTGCCAAATTTCTTGTTGATTGGTGCAGCCGTTTTTGTGCTACGGTTGACCAAAGATCTCCGGAGGAAAAAATAAATAAAAAATAAACAGTACGAAAACAATAAGACTCCTATCATTACGCTTCGTGTGTAGGGTCATAATAATCAGAATTTTAGTTGAAATGCTTATTTCCCCGACAGATGGAACAAGTTATTTTTGTAAGGTGTGGCCAAGATTTGATCAAGTCACTTTGTAAGTGACTTGATCAAATGATCCTGTCACTTTGTAAGTGACTTGATCAAATGATCCTGCTTCCTAGGCTTCAAAAAACACTTTTGGGTGAACAGATTATTATAAAAGCTTAACAGAATGTAGAAAATAGTTTAGAATAAATTCCTATTTACTTTTTAACGAATCCTACAGGTGTGACGAGTGACTTGATTGCTGGAATCTGAGCCAAATCTATTAACTTGTAACACATCTGCCCTCCTTGAACTGGATCTCTGAGGTTCTTCCTGGGATCTGTTGGAGCTGTTTTTTTTTTGTTTTGTTTTTCAGTTTGGGGGTCACTGAAGGCTTGTACTCTCCGTATCTTCTCCAGCCACTGGTAGGATTTGTTGAATCAACCACATCCTCAATCTGTTGGTGGTACATGTCTTTGAGGGTCTTTGCATAACGGTTCCTCCTCTTCAATTCTTGGTTTCTGCTGCCTGAGACATTCACTTAGCAGATCATCAATGGGGGCTTTTCTTACTGATATATACAGTTAGGGTTATATGTTTGTGAGCATACATGTACCTTTGACAATACTTAACAGTTCAACACAACAACAAATAAAACAAGCTATTTTACAAGCATGTAAACAGGCATTTATTGCAAATCATTTGAACCATTTTAAAAGACTAATTTAGACTAAAAAAAAATCATCTTTAAAGTTGTTCCTTTAAAGTCCATCCATTATCTATACACGCTTCTTCCTTTCAGGGTCACGGCACGGGGGTCAGTCTGTAAAAACAAATTACCTTTCAGTAAAAGACAATAACGTGGCACATCGACTGCCGTGGCTCCATCATTTTATAAATACTCTGATATAAACAYACAGACGTAAGTTTAGAAAATCAAAGCTGGTGTCGAGCACACATTACTTTTGAAAGAAGTCAAGAAATACTTTTTCAATCATTAAGTTAACTGGATGATGACGGTAAAGGGCCAAAAAGTGATGGAATCAGTTCTGTTTATCTGCGCTGAAAGAAATAAAAAGAGGGAGCACTTTATAGCTTTAAGTAGTGGTTTCAGTATGAGGAATGTCCTGTCCTGTCATCACGGAGGGATGGTGAGAGTTGTGATTTCCTTGTATGTCTGGTTCATGTGGAGAACTGACAATAAAGCTGGCTAAAGACTTTTAACAGTACAGAGTAAAACGATTAAATGTTAACGTGGTTCAGGTGTCTCCACAGTCCTGTTACCTCAGCAGCATCAATATAAGATTAAACAAATCTTCAGGTTTTAACCCTCCAGCATCACAACAGAGGGATTTCTGCAGCACTGAGGAGTTCCTGTCCCAGCTCAGAGTCCTGCAGGGTGAAGAGCGTCACACCCGAACTGTAAGCTGCTGGTATTGTGATGTGAGTCCGTTTGGGTTGACCTTGTTCCAGTTCTTCCTCTAGAATCATCTTCTTCACTTGACCTGTATACATCAGAGGTTAGTTAACACGTGACGTCAGCGTGCAAACTGTGCACCAGAAGTAGCTGCTTTACCCTCAACGTCCAGGGCCTGCCACCGCGGGTCGGACTGCTTCTCTGAGAGGGTAGACAGCGAGCAGTCGGGCGTTACTCGCTGCAGCACGTCGTCCCGACGAATCAGCAACACGGAGTCGCTGCAGAGACGTCGGTGCGCCGCTTCTTCGCTAACTAAAACCCAACAGAACACCGTGAGGGAACCCGACGCCCCGATTCCCACCAACAGCAGTTCTGTTCTCGCACTCACCCACATCCAAAGGGTTGGTCATGAACACAGCGTTGGGCGCGACCCCGAAGATGAGCTGGTGGTGCCAGGCGTCGGGCACCTCCTCGCCCTTGGGCACGCCCTGCTGCATGTTCATGGTGGCCACGGGGACGGCGCCCTTCTGGATCCAGCGTGCGAGCCAGGGCACCAGCAGGACTCGGCGGCGAGGAAACAGGTGGAAGAATCGACCCGTCACCGTCCCACCACTGGCCTCCTGAGCCCCCTGGATCAGCTGAGCGTGAGTGGCACCTGATATGGTTTAGAAACGAAAAGACTTGATGTGAACCAACTGATTTATTGACCAAGTAAAAAAGGCACTTTTTTGTCATTTTCTTTTAAATAATCAGCATCAATCATTGAGGTGATTAGCAAGCAGGGACATCCTGGGACAGAATGTTGTCCCACCAGAGACTGCTTCTTTGTGACACTTCTGGAGTTCCTCTCATGTTAAGAATGCTTTTCTTAGCCGAACACCAACCTATTTAAGAGAAAGCTGAGCAAGTTATTACACTGACTTTGAAAAAAGCAATGCGTATTATCAGGGAAATTTAATACAATGTTAGATATCAGCTTAAAAATGTTCTGTTGGTGTGGCAGGGCACCACTGGGAAATGCTGAATATGTTTATTATTCCAGGTAAGAAAAGATCAGAGTATGGTGACAGAATGAGACAGAGCATTAATGCATCAAAACGGGAAAAATATATCTAAATTAATATAACTTAAGATGGCACAAGTACCAATTTACAAAAAGTAATTGCTGTTTYGAGAGAGAATTCCTGTTTTCACTGAGACTTTTTTTAAACCAAGCCAACTATGACAATAAGAATTCTTCAAGTCAATATRCTCCACTGGAATCAAAATGTTGTCAACCCCCAGTACATTATAATGTGTTATTATAAACTGTAGGGGTGCGTGAATGTTAATAAGTCACTATTCGGTTTGGATTCAGTACAGCAGGAGAAAGAAATAAACACCAGACTCTGCTTCCCCACTCTATTCTCATTTAAAGAATGTGAATTCTGTCTCTCTCGGCTTACCATACCAAAGGTAATTTAAAGCTTACACATAGAAACCACTGTGCTTTCTGTACATTGTATTTTTTTTGTCTTATTGCACTCACTCAACCCATACAAATCAAATTCATGAATTGTCCATTGACTCCTCTAGTTCTTATAATTGACACATTGGCCACTGGAAAACACTGATGCCCGGTGGAGCAAGCGCCTAAAAAGTAAAAAATAAATAAGTAAAACCTGTATAAGTCATTTACAGCAGTGGTTCCCAAACCTTTCAGCTTTTGACCCACAAAATAACAGTAGCAGAGACCTGTGCCCACAACTATTTTTGGATGATAAACAGTTTTTATCAGGTCAACTAAACATGGGCATACTAACAATATTTATTATTCTACATTTATACATTTTAGGCAACTAAGGCAAAAATGTAATTAATTTAGAAAATCTTTTCAGGACCCCACTTTGGGAACCACTGATTTGCAGCCCCACCTTTGCGAGACATAAACCTGATTCTAGAGGGGACTTCTGAAAGCACAGCCAGATGTTCCACTGATGGATGTGAACCGGTCCTTTATGGGTTCAAGACATTCAGTAGGGGAGTTATAGTCTCTGCAAACATCTGTGACACCTGGAATGTCTGACTGTGTGAGTTAAATTAAAGATGTGCACCAACACGGAGCCGTGCTTTATGCACGTCATTACCTGAAAGGTTAATGTTTCATGTTTATGGTCTGGACATTTACCAGCTTCGCTGCGGGACAGCAGGTAGTCAGGCAGCGGGGACTCGTTTCTCCTCAGCCGGGTCTGCACGCAGCGGTCGGCCTCYTCGGGGGCCACTTCCACACCGAGGGCTTTCAGCACATCCACCACGGCTGTGGCCCCGCAGGCGGACGCTCCTATCTGCAGGGTCTGCCTCTCTACAGCCTCCTGGATGGACCACAGCATGGCTGCAGCCTCCTCACACTCCTCCTCCATCGGGGAGTCTCACCTAACTGAACATATACGGTTTAGAAAAACAATAATAATTTCAGCGGCTTCGGTGTCAAATGTATCTATAATCTGACTTAAAGTCACGACAGTGACACTTACGCTGGATTATTACTAAATATGTGCTTTACATCACACTGTGTGTTTGCTAGAATTCGGTTTTAACCAAAACTCGCTAGTTTACACCACTGTTGTTTACACGAACAGGAGCTGAAACACACTGCGCATGCTCAGAATGAGCTCGCCGCTTCTACAGGTAGGAAACAGGAACGAAACGGGAACTAGCRCCCCTGCTGGTTATAAAATGCAACTACAGTGACTTTTTGCATTACGTTACGTGCTTTAGAAAAATTATGCTTTTCCCAGGATTTGGATTAAGACATACACAAGTGTTTTATTACACATACCAGACCACACCCCCAAACCATTCCTGACCCCCCGTCCAAATCACCACACAGATATAGGCCTAAACCCCAACCACACAGATATATGTTTAAAGAAAATAAGCTAAAATTTTCTTTGGATTAGATTAGATCCAATAGACACCTACCAGACCACACCCTTAACCATTCCTGACCCCCATCCCTAACGCTCACCCTCCTGTCTATTTCTTCTTTCTCTGAACCCTCCTCCCTCCYTACAAAACCCAGCACATGACAAATACTCAATGTACTGGCTGAGTTCTACTCAAACAGCACGCCTACACTCACYAGAATATGCAAGTCATATTCCACTATATGGCGGCACGGTGGCTCAGTTGGTGGAGCTGATGCCTCTTGGCAAGAAGGTCGCCGGATCAAATCCCAGCCTGGGGACCTTTCTGGGTAGAGTTTGCATGTTCTCTCCGTGCATGCGTGGGTTCTCTCCGGSTACTCMRGCTTCCTCCCACAGACCAGAAACATGACTGTTAGGTTAATTGATAACTCTAAATTGTCCCTAGGTGTGAGTGAGAGTGAATGGTTGTTTGTCTCCATATGTGTCCCTGTGATGGACTTACGACCTGTCCAGGGTGTACCCCGCCCCTCGCACTGTGACTGCTGGATATGGGCACCAGTGACCCCCTTGACCCTAGAAAAGAAATAAACGGGTATAGATAATGGATGGATGGATATTCCACTACATCGTACAGCACATACAAATCAACAGGCTATCTCCAACTGGAACAGCCAACTCCACCAAGCACTTCCCATAAAGACAAGACTCAGGACTGGACTTGATCTTGAGTGAGCGTGCATTTCCTAAGGGATTTACCAACTTTGCAGAGCCATCAGGTGGAACCCTCTGAGTGAATATTCCTATAACCTGACCCTTTACCCCAGGACTATTCAACTGGTGGGCAATGAGCCACCCCCACCCCCAAAAAGTTTTTTCTATGTTAATTTTTTTTACTTAATTTAGAATAAAAATGTATTTCAAATTTCTTTTTTTTTTTTTCTTTTTTGATGGCCTCCCTTCTCCCACTTTAGCCATCCTTTCCACACCATTATTA